TGTCAATCACAAATTTGTTATCGTTATTTGTATATTCATTTGACTTTATTTAACACTAGATAATATAATAAATATTTGTATTATTTAATATTCTTATTTATAATTATAAATCAGTTTTCATATTGACACTTTGACAGTAGTGTTGCCAGATTATAAAACTATTCCTGGAAATAATACTATTCCATAGGCACATATATGCCATCTAGTTCTATTTATTACCTTTGGGCGTTCTAGAGTGACATTTGTAGTGTACTTCCGCCTCTTTCCTTTCCCGTTTAGCTTCCAACATGGTGAGTTTTCCAGTGTTTTGTTAGTGATTAAATCATAAATCATCTTTTAAATAAAAAATGGTAATATATACATTTTAGTTGGACTAAAATATTTTCGTATTTTTTGTAATTGCGTCTATGAATTTTGGTGTATTTGATTATTTCAATTTTGATGAAAATTAATTTAATGTTGATATCTGTGCATATATAGTACTTGTGTAATTAATACAGTTGTTCATTTTCAAAAATGGTAGTGTTTAAAACGCATAGTATTTTGTTGCTGAAGCCCTAATTCGACTTATAATGTGTGTATATTTAGTTTTTTCTAACTTAACCTAAAAATTTCTAGGCTCGTGGACCTAAGAAGCACTTGAAGCGTCTTCATGCACCAAAAGCATGGATGTTGGATAAATTAGGAGGTGTGTACGCACCTCGGCCATCCACTGGACCTCACAAACTTCGTGAGTCCTTACCTTTAGTTATTTTTCTACGTAACCGTTTGAAATATGCTTTGACCAATACCGAGGTTACGAAGATTGTTATGCAGCGTTTAATCAAAGTTGATGGAAAAGTACGCACAGATCCTAACTACCCATCTGGATTCATGGGTAAGTAATATATATTTTAACATACTTGACTTACTTACAATAATTCATGGTTTCTAATTTGTGCATTGTTTTAGATGTTGTTTCAATTGAAAAAACTGGTGAATTCTTCCGTTTGATCTATGATGTTAAAGGACGTTTTGCCATTCATCGTATTTCAGCTGAAGAAGCTAAGGTAAGTTCTTTCAAACTATTTATGAAGTTGAAATTGATAGTTTTTTGTTGCGTTGTAGTGTTTGTATTCACGTTTTCACTTGTAGAATGCTCAATTACATTGTCCTATTAATTGAATTTAAATGTTTGCATAAAAAGTTATGGATCTATCTATGAATGTGATTATACAAAGTGTGTAGTTGTACTAGATGGGTCCTAGAATAATGGGCCTCTATTTGCCCCATGGTAATGGTATCATCATTACGCATGGTTTCCTTTTGAGGTACAGAGTTTATTTTAATTCCATGCAGATATGCATTTTAGTTCAAAAATGTTTGACTTGTGTTACTTTGTGCTGCTTATAATTGAAAAGTATTAGATACTTATTGAATATTATTAAAATGTTTTCAATTAAATTTAAAGAACTTGTTTTGAGCAATAATTGATTCAAGCAATTATTGTAAAACACTATAGAGGAGTTTAATTTTATATTCAATGATTATAATCTTAAACTTTATGCTTTAAGTTGTGGTTTAATTCTTATACTCATAACTCCATCTCCTATTTTGTTACAGTACAAACTCTGCAAAGTAAAGCGTGTACAAATGGGACCCAAAAATATTCCATTCTTGACAACACATGATGGCCGCACCATTCGCTACCCAGATCCTTTAATCAAAGTAAACGATACTGTTCAGGTGGATATTGCCAGTTCTAAGATCACAGATTATATTAAGTTTGATTCAGGTTAGTACATTTTATAGAACCATTTATAATTATTGCCTGATCGAAGCTTATTGCTCATTTTTAATTGTTCAATGAGTCAAAACAAGGCAGATAATAATGTTGCTTCCAATGGTCACTGGCTTGTTAAAATAATACATGAATTCAGTATTTACCCATGGAATTTACAATTCAACTTCTTAAATTCATATTTATCAAATTTTTGTTTATTACCCTCAAAGATCAAATAGCTATGAGAAAATCATTTTTATCTTTTTATAAATTTTACTTATTACTCAATTTTCATACATATATTAATGTTGAATTTTTTTTTAGGAAACTTGTGCATGATCACCGGAGGTCGTAACTTGGGGCGTGTCGGTACTGTTGTCAACCGTGAAAGACATCCAGGATCTTTTGATATTGTACATATCAAGGACAGCCAAGGCCACACTTTTGCTACTAGGTAAGTTTAAACTCTATACTTCATTTTTATATGGAATATTAAATTAAATATAAACCCAGCTGATCCATTAGATATGCCTTAGACATTTTGGTCTAGTAAAAAAAGTTACCATTTTCTATTTTACATGGTACTTTGATTCAAATTTGGCCCTTTCGAAGCTTAGCAATTTTTAATAAATTGAATGAGTCAAAAAGAGGCCTATAAAAAATTACTTCTTTAGGTCACTGAAAAGCCAATCATGCTTTAATCAGTATTACCCAAGTAGTAAACAGTACATTTAATTTTAATATTAAATAAACAAAATTTCATTTTTCTCCCCACTTATTTTGCAAAATTGCATTTTTCAGATTGAATAACGTTTTCATCATTGGTAAAGGCTCTAAGGCATACGTTTCATTACCTCGCGGTAAGGGAGTGAAACTCAGTATTGCAGAAGAACGTGACAAGAGACTTGCTGCAAAATCTGCACATTAATGTGAGAATTAAAATAAATTACTATAAAAAATAATTGATTTTTATTTCAAACTTAAATTAGTATTATACTTCTATTCATATGATACCCAAATTCTTTTACAGTGAATTTGAGCACACTATTTACATAGTAATATAAAATATATAATTTGTTCTACCTATCCTAATATCACAGTTCCATTAGTTTTGCAGAAAATTATGATGTATGAAGACATATTTACAACTGTTTTTTCTTGTAGTACCATTAGCATGAACTATATGCAGAGTATTTGTACTGTTTTTTAACATGGTCTTGTTCGAATTAAATTGATCTAATTGTTTTTGTTGTCCTGCCAACAAATGTGCATTAGGGTTTTATTTTGTGTTAAAATGAGTTCTAATTCTACATTGGATTATTAGATAACATCTCAGATTCTTGGCTATGCACCATCTGATGGTGTCTTTGCAGGTCCCTTCTTCTCACTAGTACCTTATTGCAAAGATCACATTTATATGGGGAATCTCCTTGCAAATGTAGCCTTACATGCTTATTTAAGTTACTAGGATCTCCAAAAGCTCTTGAACAAAATTTGCATTTTAATGGTTTAAATCCTGTGTGTGTTCTAATGTGGATTTTCAGTCCATATTTTCTTGAATAAACTTTACCACAATATAAACATAAGTGCCCTTTGTTTGATTTTCCTAAATTGCTTACTATAGTTTCCATTTGTGAAGCATGTGTCTGATAATTAATATCAGAAATATTTCTAATGGGTAAGGATGATACTAAACGGTCATATTGCATTTGTTGGTTTTGGTATAGTGGTAGCCTGGGGGATGTTTTAAATGAGTTGGTATGATTGAAGTAAGGCACAAATGCAGAGGTGCGGTTGGCTTCCTGATTTTGTGGTTCAGTTTCACTTGACAATACTGAATTTCTTAGTGGTGATTTCAATGTTAAATTCAGAGGCACAATGTTTTGGTTACATAAACTTATTAAGGCACTGTGTATATTTTCCCAGATATATTCAATTGATAGCCTTTCACAATCCAGTGCTATGTGTAATTTTAGTGGATTTGGATATTCAAATTCTTTACTGCAGGTATGACATGAGTAACGATTTTGATCTGGAAAATGAAAGATAATAAATAACACTTCAAGCTTAATATGATAAATCAGTAAAGAAAAATGTAAAAAAATACTCATGGCCCTCATACATATTTTCATCAGCATTTTTGCTTAATCTAGTTTTTGCTTAAACAATGTGAAGTGATTTATACAAATTCAGTGTAATATTTACCTTTAATATTCTTTGGTGTGAGAAATGGCATTGAAATTAAAGCAGATATTTCTTCAGAAAACCACATTTGGATTTTTTCCCCCGAAGTGATATCCTTAACTGATCTTACAGTTAGGCCAAAATTTAGATCAACTGTTCTATGGAGATCCAATACAACATTTTGACTTTGTATATCACCAGCAATTGGTAAATTTTGTGGCCAAACAATGTGTGCACTCGGAGCCGCGGGCTGGATATAACCGTTGTGAAAATGTAGTGAAGAAACATACTGAAAAAGGTAATAATTATAATAATTTAATTAATTTTATGTCAGAGAATGAATGATATATATTTTTATTATGCAACTGCATTATGTGTACGATATTAAACACTATTATTTTTCTCATTTATGGAAGAATCTCATAATTTTGATGTTAAGATGTATGAGGGTCATTCTTTTACAAATCGTACGGATTTTAGTAAAAAAAATTGATTTGAAATTTGAATTAAATTGTCCATTTAATATCTTACGATGTAACAGCCTTCCCATCGAATTGTAAAAATAATTTTGTAGTAGATAAATAAAAAAAAGCAATATGATTTTTTACGCAATCGATTTAAGTTGGGGCGCGCGTATGTAAAATCAATGTAAACAATCAATTGTTGTTATTGTTAAAATAATTGCAAAAACAGTATTTTTTTAAAGTACTTCAAAGTTGAGTTCATAATGAATATAATAAAAAAAAAAACAATACTGATCTGATCAACACAACTGAAGATAATTAACATAATGCAGAGGAAGTTCATAAAAATTGAGACAATCGGCAATATTTCAATCGTAAATATCAGCGAAAAATATTTTTTGCCCGCAAAATCCTGAAATACGTGTCAAATAATTTTATCTATAATATCTATAAAAAAAAATTCAGCCAATTCTAAAATGTCAAGGTATGGTTGGTGTACGGTTTGTAAAAGAATGACCCATGAACAAAATTTTGGAGACCACTGTGCCATCATCATTGGATATGATTTTTTTTTAAATATGTATAATATAATAGTATGAAAAGGTAAAAAAGTAAATTTGCACTTGCAACACTATTACTGTTAAAAGCTGTTGGAATACAACATTTTATTCTTATTTTTTTTCATATCCACTATTTTATGACATAGAATTTCATAACATCTGGAATAATAATAAATATTTATTAAAATTTTCATTATCTGCAAAATTTGATTCATACAGTTTTGCGTATTGGTCGCTAATTTCAATATATTTTTATTGGCTGAACCATAGTATTCAACTTAGTTCAACTCTTGGTAGCTCTTCAATTTAGGACAACCATAAATTTTCAATCTGATGCATAATATTTTAAATCTTTTATTATGTTAAAATTCACTGATTTACCTTATTTGATTTTTGAATGTTTTTCATATCTTCGACCAGCCAAACAGGCGATCTGGTGCCAACTGGAATATTGTTTCCAGCAGTAGTTTCGTTCATGTCCTTTCTGCTAGTCTCCAATTTTTGATACATATGTTTCAAATTCACTTGAACTAAAAGATCACTGGCTACCGAATTTAAATTTGGCGCACTTGTTTTTTGTGGAATTATAGGAAACATTTTAACATAGGATATGTTAAATATAAATAATTATTTTTATTACATATAACTATCAGAGTTATCCTGTTGTTGCTTCGGTTTCTAATTGCAAACTGATTGGATTCTTGTGGGGTGTTTTAAATTTATATACAGATAAACTTGTAACATGTGACAAATTTCGCGGTATCCCTGTCCTTTTTTGATACATTGGTTTATATAATAATATCGTTTTCTCTCTTATGCATTTGGGCATTTGACAGCATCCCTGTTCGAGCACGTGGGTAAATCTCGGCTTGTCAACAGCTGCCTGAGCCCTGAATCGTCGACCATTCGATGCGCTGGATATGCATTTTTCACTTACTGGCCGGACGGGGACCGCGGGCACGACCCACCAATTTGGAGACTTTTTGTTTGTTTTATAATAAGGGTTTATGGGGTTTATGATCGTAGAACCGGGATGAAACTACCTCGCAAACCTGCTACAGAAAATATCTGTAATTAAATTCCTGTAGGGCAAGTTATAGTAATGGCAAAAAAATCGAAAATAAATTTTTTTATATATCTTTACGTTTCTAAGGTTTCTGAAGATTTTGGCATATCTTAGAAAAAATGGATGTATGTGTGTTCGGATACAAATTTTCGTCGACGATTTCGGGAACGATTTTCGGATTTGAATAATTCAAAAAACATTCGATTCGTATTGATAAGGAGACGTGCTGATTAGTTTTTGGCGAAGGCAGGTCTAGCCGTTCCAAAGATACTGGACAAAAAGTGCCAAAAACGGTAACTCAATTTTTAAAAGAACGGAGCGTCCGATTTTAATAATTCAAAAACATTTTACTTGTATTGACAAGATGAAGAACTGATCAAATTTTTGGGAAAGCAGGTCCAGCTGCTATGGACTCTCAATAAAAATACGTTAAAAAATGTCATTTGGCGGTCGAAAATGTTTATTGGACATTTGTATACATCAAATTATCAGATATTTTATAGAGATTTTAATAATGTATACACATTTTGTGTAAATTTTTTTTCGGTTCCGTACCAAGATTTTTAATTACTGTACGGAATGTTTCAGGAATTTGCCTTAAGGCACTAGTTAATTCTGAAATGGTAATTTAGGTCGTTTACACAAACGTATACAGTTATAGAGAATTATTATATAAAGTTCACATTTATTAAGAATTTTGGTAAAATATTTTTATTTTAACGATCTTGTTAAAATGGAAATGATATTTACAGAATTACTACAAGACTACAAGTTTAAAAATTACTATATTTATTCTTAACAATCTTGGTGTATGCTCATTTTAAATATCTGATAACTATTTTTGTATTGATTTTCAAATGTGATAGCGCATATTCAGCCCAAGATCAACTTTTCTTTAGTTATTAGTTACCAAGTCGTACATAATTGAAATATAATACCTCTAAATAGTACATTATTGAAATAACCCCGTAAATGAAATAATAATCTCAAAAAGTAACGAATGTATTTTTTAACACTTTAATTGCCATGTCAGTCATATCAGTCTGTCGGACGCTAAGAAGTTCTACATAAACCGTGTCAGACATATATGTCTGATATACGCGATTTGGTAGAAGAAAAAAAAAATTATTATAGGGTCATGTCCGTCGTATAAGTGCGTTTTTTCGGGAATTTTGGCAAAAAAATATTTTTTTCTTTGATACATAAAGTTCCATAACTATCACTTAACATTTTTATTTAATAAAGTTATCATGGTAAAAAAAATCTGGTATTATAGTGGCGTTCAACGTGTTAATTGTTAAATCATGGAACTGTTTATGAAGATCAGCCTCTATAGGTTACATCCACCTGATATTTTCTTTAAAGAGCAAACACTTTGGAATATTGAACTTAACCATTCTTATTTCGTATTTACTATAAATCTCCTTAACATGCTATTTTTTAAACGTTTTTTTAATGCTTTGTAGGTTTTTTTGTATGAGTAAGGAATTTTGCACAGCTACGACTTGAGTTAAATAATATATTTGTATATTTCTATTATGCTTGGAATTAATATTTTCGTTCAATATAAGCTATAATAAATAGAATCAAATATCACCCTGACTATGGAGCGTTATTTAAGAGCAGACCATAACGAATCACCCCTATCCACCGCAGGTTGATATGGAATTAATTTTGCTATTATTCTAGTCATTTGCCATTCAGACTTTCATTTTAGCACGATTTACTGCATATGACACTTAACAAATTTCAGTATTTAATTTATATGAAAACAGAAAAAGAATTTGAGTATTTTAGCGAAAAACAATTCTTTGCACTATTATCTAGATTTAAACAGATGGAATGTATTCAAAAATGCGATTAGCGATTTTGATGAAACTTGACACACATTTTTACTATACTTTACTAAGATTGAGACCAAAATTTAAATGGGATAATTGAATAGTTTCTGAGATATGCGAGGTTGATGGGTGGCTGGCTCCGCTCTCAATGCTATTATGGAAACAGATTGTACGGTTTCAAAAATGCATAATTCGATTTTGATGAAACTTGACACACATTGTTACTACATTTTACTAAAATATTTGACAAAAATTACAAGTTGGATCATTCGATAGTTTATGAGATAAGCGAGGTTGATTGGTGGCTGGCTCCGCTATCAATACTAGTATTGAAACAGATTGTACGTTTTCAAAAATGCATAATTCGATTTTGATGAAACTTGACACACATTGTTACTACACTTAACTAAAATATTTGACAAAAATTACAAGTTGGATCATTCGATAGTTTATGAGATATGCGAGGTTGATTGGTGGCTGGCTCCGCTATCAATACTAGTATTGAAACAGATTGTACGTTTTCAAAAATGCATAATTCGATTTTGATGAAACTTGACATATAAATTGTTACTACACTTTACTAAATATTTGGCCAAAATTTAAAATTGGAACATTCAATAGATTCCGAGACATGTGAGGTTGATGGCTGGCTGGCTTCGTTCTCAATACTAGTATTGGAACAGATTGTACGTTTTCAAAAATGCATAATTCGATTTTGATGAAACTTGGCACACATTGTTACTACACTTTACTAAAATATTTGACAAAAATTTAAAGTTGGAACATTCAATAGTTTCTGAGATATGTGAGGTTGATGAATGGCTGACTCCGCGCTCAATACTAACATTTACTAGAGCATCGTTTGGAAACGAGTGCGTCAAATATAAGTCCAGAAGCCAGTGATCTTTTGATGAATTTAAAGCATTTATTATATTTTAGCTGTGTATATTTTTTTTCAATTAGAAATGTAACATTTTTATTATATGTAATGGAAAAAATTAAAACATATGTACCAAAAATTTGGAAATTAGCTGAAGAAATATGATCGATACCACTGATGATAATAATGCCCCAATCTGTACTTGATCGAATGTCTGGTTAGTCGAATAATGTCGAAAATCAATAAATGTAAATTAAGTAACTAAAATTTATTGGATACCTAAAGAAAAAGAAATAAAACGACAAAAATACTTAAATATTTTGAAATATAGAACAACATGGTTAATATTATTTTATCTCTATCTTTAATTAGTTGCTGTGGTTCATATTTGCTTTGAAACATTCAAAATGTTTTCCATTTCCATCACAAAAAAACGGATACTAATGGGTAAACTCTATTTTGGTTCTGATATTACATATTGTTATTCATAATTGCTAAATGTATTTTGTATTTTCAATACAGATTGTAATTGCATCTTGAGAAATAACAAAAAAAAATGTTTTCCATGTCTTGGACTCTTGAATATCGTTTATATAGAGGCTCGATATAAAATATTAGGTTGTCAAATATCTCCCTTCCGCCTTTTTGTATTATAAACCAAGAGCAAAAAAGCGGATATTTGACAACCTAATATATACATAAAATTAATATATGTATATATATACATATATATATATATATATATATATATATGTGTGTGTGTGTGTGTGTAAAAATATTGAGAAATATATATATATATATATATATATATATATATATTTCTCAATATTTTTAATAAACACTAGGTACTCTTATATACAATTGAATCATTTCTGCATTCAATTAAAGATAGCTATCTATCTAAAATAATCTGCTTCATAGAATCTGAGGAATGAATAACTCTGAATGAGTACCACAAGAGAAAACACAAGTGCATTATTATTTTATCAGCATAAAGCGATTTAGCATCGGCCAACTACCCCATCGCGATTGCGGAAGCATTGAGGACTCCTGAAATGTTAGCACGTGCGCCTGTGAACGCACACGTGCTGCGGCTTGTTTTGGCCGGTGCAATTCGGGACATAGTTTCCAAACTTTTATGAAATCGGAAAGGAAGATTATAATAATATTTTTTTGGATTTTATTCTATCACAAGATCTTATGATGAATAAGTTGAACTTAAAAATGTATAGAAAAATTTAATTTTTTTTACTAGCTTCATACAAAAAATAGCCTTTTTCCAAGTCAAGGTTCTATATCAAGACTGATATAAATATGTACTCTTATCATATTTTGTAGAAACAACCGTTTGTTTCAACATTGGCTAATTAATTACTAAAATAAGCAGTTAATAATCATACCTGTCGATTCAGATTGTTCAACATTTTCGAGCAGTTGCGACAAAACAACAATCTAAAACTCGCTATACTAAAAATTATTTTTAGTTTAGTTTATCAAAATAACGTTTCAGTTTTATTATCAAATATGCAATCATAAACTATTACGGATTTAATTGTTTTTATTTATCTATTATTTTTTTCTAAAAATTCTTTTATTGTTGAGAACCCATCATATAATCGCAAGGCAAACAATATGGGTACACCCCAATTTACGCGGTATTTAAATACGAATGTGGACCCAAAAAATGAACGATCTGTTATTAGAATTCGAAAATTTATGAGTTATGGAATAGCCAAAATAACTAAACAAAGTACAACTTTTACGTGAACATTGTATGCACTAATGATTATGTAATATATATAGTGCTAAT